CTGAGCCTGCTTGGTCGGGTGTTCTGTGTTGTTGTTGGCGGAGCTCTCTGCTATACGTCCACTCGATCCGCCATCTTGTTTGTTCTCTCCATCCTCACTTCTAAGGATCATTCTGACTTTGCATCTTCCAAGACTGATTTATTCATTCTTCTGGCAGTCCATGCTATTCTGTATTCTTAGCCAATACCTTAATTCAATGGTATCAATTCTTCTCTGTCTTCCTTGTTTTTGTTCAGTGTTCACATGTATATGAGGTAATTTGAAAATATCTTGGCTTGGGTTAGGCACACTTAAGTACTGAAGGCGGTATCAAAGAGCTTTTTAACATTTTAAAAAAGGTCTTTTGGAATACAATTACGCAATGCAATACCTCCTTTGAGTTCTTGACTACCGCTTCCATGGGTGTTGATTGTAGTTGTATCTAGAATAGACAAATTAAAAGAGACAGAAATAGATGGTTTGTTGTTAAGTCCTGGTTCCAACTCATAGTGACTCTGTATAGAGTTTTCAAGGAGCAGCTGGTGGGTTTGAACTACCTTCCTTACAGTTAGCAGTCCAGTGCTGATCCTGCAAGACCATAACAGGAATCCAAATGGATGTTTGTTGTTGCTGTTAAGTGCTGTCGAGTTGGTTCTGCACATAGCAACCCTGTATAGAGTTTCCAAGGAGCATCTGGTGGGTGTGAACTGCCGACCTTGTAGTTCAAACTGACCTTGCAGTCCAGTGCATTATCCTTCAGTACCACACCAGGAGGGATCTAATGTTATCACTTAATGGATACTGAATTTCTGTGTCAGGTGACAAAAAGTTTTGCAAGTGGATAGTAATGGTGGCTGTACACACTATAAATGTAATTAAAGTTACTGAATGTGACACTGTAGGTTAATGCGTTAGACTGCAGGGTCTGTCTGAACTGCAAGGTCGATGGTTCAAGCTAATCAACCACTCGTCAGAAACAGTATACAGGGTCACTGAGTCAGAACCAACTCCACGGCACTTAACAACAACATGTTTAAAGAAAGCTTTGAATATAGTTTTGTGTCTCCTTCAAACTCTTTTTGGACTCGCATAGCCTGTACGAAGACAGTACCTGAGTGCCTCAGTAAGTAAATGTCCGCTTCATAGTATCAGTGAATCATTCTGTGAATGTAGGTTTTATGGTACTCCTTGGCCACAGACTCTTCAAATACTTTTGTACTTTTAATTAGAGCTCATTATTTGTTCCTGAATAATTAATACACTGGAAGTTATTTAACCTAAACAAATGAAAAATTACCAATGAAATGTTTAAAATATTTAATGGTTCACTAATATAGGATAGTATTTAATTCTTATGTTTTTTTGTGTGTTTTCGACAGTAAAACATTGTCGTATTCCGAATATAAAGCATGGAATTCTATACGATGAAAACAAATATAATCCAGACACTCTTATTGCTGTGGGAAATGTCCTCTACTACTCCTGTGAATATAGTTATGTGTCTCCTTCAAACTCCTTTTGGACTGTCATAGCCTGCACTAATCAAGGATGGTGGCCAATACCTGAGTGCCTCAGTAAGTAAATGTCCTCACCGTAGTTTGAGTGAATCACTCTGTGAATGTAGGGGATACATGGGGTTGCTCTGAGTCTCCATAGACTAGATGGTACAGAGTAAGGGACTGTATGGTCTTGACGGACAATCAGGGTTGAGGACTAAAGAAACCAGCAAAGTTGACAGCTATCATTCTTCTTTTGTGAAAACAAAATAAAACACATGAACTTGCTTCTATTATCTAGTCATACTCTTCATGTTGGCACACTTTATTAACTGTTGATTAATATTTCTAAGTATTCGTGTTTCTTTCCTAATATTTGCTTGGAAGCAGGATGACCATATTTTTTGTTTAAAAGTTATTTTATATAAACATTCTGTTTTTAAAATGTACTATTCTCTGAGATATCTCAAGGATCACATGAAATTAAGTATTTTCTCTTTCATATGTTCCTTAAATAACTTCTTTGATACTCAAAATTATATTCATATTAATCCTTCAATGACTAGAGAGCAGACTTAAATGATGGCAGAGTATTAAAAGAGAAAAATAACAGGAAGCAGAATACAAATATATGTACCAGCATAAGAGCTAATAATAGACTTTCTCCTTCTATAAGAAATATTTATGAGATTTAAGAAAGATATATCTATATATTGAGATATTGTTTTGAAAATAAAAGTGCTATCTAAATGAAATAATTTTTATAAAAACCATAGCACAACAGTATAGAATATTAATTTTTATATATGTTGTTGCTGTTATTAAGTGCCATCAAGTCAGTTTGAACTCCTAGTGACCCCGTACAGGGTTTCTAAAGAGTGGGTTGTGGGTTTGAACTTCCATCTTGGAGTTCAAACCAGACTTATCCTACAGTGTCACACCTGGACTCCTTCATATATGTAGTCCCCAACTTACAACAAGGCTTTTTTTCCAATTATTACTTTGTAAGTCTGTTCTTATGTAAGTTTAATACTGTTGTTTAAGTTTTCATTATCATTGCCTTTTATAATCAATATCTTTATAAATCTGATTTTTATTTATCTTTGGGGGTTGTAAAATTACATGTAACTTAGTAATGTATTTTAATGCATAGATACATTGTTGTTGTTGTTAAGCGCTGTCAAATCGATTCCAACTCATAGTGGCCTCATATAGGATTTCTAAGGAGTGGCTAGTGAGTTTGAACTGCTGACATTGTGGTTCAAAGGGACCTTATGGTCCATTGTTTTACCCTGCAGTGCCATATCAAGATATGTTTAAAATGTATAAATCATGAAAATGTACTCTGAATACAAAAAAGAGTTGAACACATGTGAATTTTTTAAGTTGCATAATAACTCCACTTATGAATGTTCGGAATCATTTGGATTATCCATCATAGTGGAGAAAGAGCTTCTAGTCCGAAAATTAGTGAGAATTCATTGTATAATCCTGCTCTAATTTTCCTTAAATATTTTGTGGTAACATATCTCTGCTTCCCAACATTGCATATCAACATTAGGAAAACAATCACTGTTTGGGTCCGTGAATTCAAGCAACTGAAGCCCCTGATTTAGTATAGATAAAACTTCAGCTAATCTTTTCAATATAAAGTTTTGAAAACTTTTCTCCTTCTTATTCCTGGTTATTTCTTCATCTTTGGCATTTCTTTCCTCTTCAGAATCCATTAAGTCCTAATATGTCATTATACAGGTTTTTTGGACTGTGTGTGTATGTGTTTTTTTTAATGTTTTATTGTGAATTATGTGATAGTTTACATGGGAGAACATTAGCTTTACATACATTGCCATGGATACAATCCCCTCCATGCATCATCACCCAACCAAAGGGTGCCTACAAGCTTGCCCCATGGTTGTCAGCACACAGTCCCTCTCGCTCTCTGGGTCTAAAGTCCCCAGTTGCTCCATCTCTCCACGTCATCTTCTCTGCCTCCATCTCAGGCATCAACTGCTTCTCTGGGTAGGGTCCCACTCTCCACTCTACTCCCTTGGTGGTCCCGGGGACCTCCGCTCCTAGACTGAAAAGTTAATCACACCCTTCCTTGCTAAAAAACGTCCACCTTTACAGTCCCAATCCTCACAATCAGTCCTGATAACAATTATTCATTATTGTATCACAAAAGACCTATCCGCATTTCATTTCATCAGTCCCGCCTAGACAGATTGGATACTACTCAGTGGAGATTTTACCTTCCTCCACACCCTCTGGATCTAGTTTCCCCTTGAAAGCTTG